TACAGAAGTTTTGAAATCAGACATATAATTATCTATAAACTTTGAGACACTAAAATCGCCTAATACTATGCAGCGAAATGTGGGCAGACGAAGAATATCCTGGCTTAAGAACTTAAGGGAATGGTTTGAATGCAGTAGTGCAGAACTTTTTAGAGCGGCAGTCAACAGAGTCCGCATAGCCATGATGATTTCCAACCTTCGATAGAAGATGGAACTTAAAGAAGAAGAAGAATACTATGCAGTCATTATTTAAGTAATCAATTTTCCCTAAGCAATCGAGAAAATATTCAAAGTCTACCAAACTTATCATATCGGGTAAATAAACAACAACTATATAAAAATATTTGTAACCAATCTGGCACTTGACAATAATAAGATCAATAAGTGGAAATTGTGCGTAGAGCGCTCTAATGTCCAATACTTCAGATGTTATGAAATCTTTTAACGCGAGCACTACACTACCACCCTTCACCTTGTCCACCTCATGAAATTTTCAGATTTTTCTGTATACGACATAATTATTCGGAAAGTGTTTCATACTCGAAACATCACTGCGTAACCACGTTTTACTTAATACTATGATGTCGAAGTCACAATCACTAACGTTAGAATTAAACAATGAAATTTTGCTATTAAGACCGCGTACATTTTTGGTATCTAATAATATGTCATTTCAACGTGTTGGGATTTACTTGATCTGGAACTGTTGTACACATTTAGTTTAAAGAGCCCCCAGTTTTACTGACAATGGTATGTTTACCCTTTACATACTTAATGATCAGATTTTGTTCTCCATTATCTGTTCGACGTTTTAGTTCGGTCCGACGTTCATTTAAGTATTGTCCTAATTTATTCTTGATACGCAAAATAGACTTAGCCTGCGCGGGTGTTTAAAAGGTCACTTTTCTAAGACTGGCCTTATCGTTTACCAATTCTGTGTACATGTATTGCAGAAATCGTATTTGCATAATTACCTTGTATTGTAGTTAGAATATCATTTACTTTATTATTATCTTCCATAGCAGAATTAGTTTCTGGGACATTATACAAAATTATATTTTGCGATCGATTAATATGGTCCATGGCTTCTTCAATTATCTCTTCCTGATGTTCGGATTGTATTGTAGGATTAATAGCCTATTTTCCTTTAAAGCTCCTGCATTTTGGTTTCCACAAGATTCGTTAAAAATTGCTTTAATTGAACAAACTTGTCTTCTCCGTTGCTACAAGTATTACATAGTACTTTGATATTTTTACTGCGCGTTCGTGTAATCCGACTGACATCATCGCCCTGTAAGCCAATGCGTGAGGTATGCAAAGAATTCATACATTCCAAACATTTTATAATTTGAGTGTTTATGGTAGATTGCTTACAGTTTATACACTCAGGCATAATTAATTATTTTCCTCCAATTTACGATTTAAACCAAATCAATTAAATAGCAATTAAACTTTGTAGGTAGATAGTAGATATTCGACAAAAATGATAAATTAAACCAGTTTTTTTTGCCTGTGTTCTGATATGAACGGCAATATAACCAATTATTACATATAACGGGATTCACAAAGGATCACCAATAAAACTAGGTACTCACGGTTGTGAATCTTGTGATAATAGACACTTTGTGAAAATTTCACTAAAAACTGACTTGTATAACTTAATTAAATTAATGTTTAATGTAAAGCACAAATGTTTTTCGACTTTTATGTTGTACTTCATGTTACTTGATGAAAATTCATTTTTTGTAACAATAAAACAGTGAAAACTTTATTTTCAAACTTCCGCAAAATTTTGTGGAAATTTGAAAAAAAAGTTTTCAGTGTTTTATTGTTACATATCGACTGGTCCAACGAAGACTGTAGTAACTCAAAATTTCCACTTTTTGAGTTACGAGCGCAAAACAATAAAACATAATGAAATAAATAAATTCTTCCCCAGGAAAGAATCGTATCTCAGTAAACGTAGTTATGCAACCAATATTACACGTAAGAGTTTTATAGTATCTCCGATTTATGAATAACAACCGTAGAAAAGCATCGCATCTTGAGTTAAAATAGTCTTCGTTGTTATCTGAGGCGGTAGCATAGGTATCGTAACATGAGTTACTACGGTACTCTGCGTTAGTTTAAGGTTATGTTCAAAAGTTTAGTTTTGTTATAATTGCCATAATGTGTTCCAGAAGTGAGTTAATATTGGAATTAGCTGAGAAAGCGTATAAAAACACTGAAACGGATATTTCTTATCGTTCTTTTGAAGGTAAATTTATAATAAACTTTATTTAAAATAATAACAGCAAAGTAAAAACCGACTTTTTTTTTAAGGTAAACATATTGCTGAAAGTATTGTAGAAGAAAGCAAATACAAAAAGGCGAATGAGGATCCTGGTGACCACGAGACTGATATTAATCCTGAATGTTCTACAGGTTGGTTTAAATTCCGCATGAAAAAATATTACGTAGGCATTTACCTCATGTTTGTTTAATTTTAGTAAGCTTAGAAGACAATGAAACCAATAGGAATGAAAATGAAATAATTGAGAAGGAAAGCGATGAGGAACCATTTCATGCAGACTCTGATACTGACCCAGATTACATTCCGACAGAAGACAAAAACATCCCTGAAGTAATAATTGAACCTAATAAGAATATAACTGAAGCAACCACAAATGGAAAGAGAAGAAGCAGAGGCAATATAGAGAGAGTAAGTAGGAAAAGAATTAGAGACATTAGTAAGTGGGCGGATGAAAAATCTAAAACAAGTCTAAACCTGGGACTTGAACATGAAAATCGAAAAGGTATTCAAATTAAAGGCAGACAGATAAGTGCACCATGCGCAAACACATGTAGACTAAAATGTGCTACCAAAATAGCTAAAGAAGATAGAGACCTTTTTTTCAATGAATTTTGGAAGTTAAAAGATCATACGAGAAAGTGGGATTTTATTGCTCGTCATGTGAGACAGGTTGCCAAAAAACAAGTAACTATTACTGCAGAACAACGGTCTCGAAGAAATTACTCTCGAGAATATTACTTCTACATTCGCAATGAAAAACAACGTGTTTGCAAAACTATGTTTTTGGAAACCCTTAACGTTTCAGAAACTTGGATCACTACAGCATTAAGGAAACTGAAAGATGGTGGATCATTAGAGGAAGATAAACGTGGAAAGCACACTAACAGACCACATAAACTATCACCAGAACTATAGATAACGTAAAAATCACATAAATCAGTTTCCTGTAGTACCTTCCCATTATACCCGTAAGAATACGATGAAGATGTACCTTGAATAAGGGCTAACTATCCAGAAAATGTACCGATTGTACAACGAGCATTGCGAAAAAATAACATCACTACAGCTGCCACGTCACGCCAGTATAGAGATATTTTCAATGAACAGTTCAATATTGGGTTTTTTAAACCAAAAAAGGACCAGTGTACTGATTGTTCTGTTTTTAATATGGCTATTGATGCTGAAAAAGCAAAATTGCTCGAACAATATGAGTCCCATATGAAAAACAAAGAAGTTATCAGAAACTTAAAAGACATAGACAAACAGCTTGCACTAGATGATAAGGGGCTTGTATGTGGCTTGCTTTGACCTTCAAAAGGTTTTAGCTACCCCTTTGTCTAACGTAAGTGATTTTTACTACAAAAGCAAATACTCTACATATAACTTTACAGTTTATGATGTTGGAAATAATCAGAGTTACTGCTATGTATGGCACGAGCAGGTGGCTAAAAGAGGTCCTAATGAAATTGCCAGTTGCCTCTGGAAATTTTAGATCTCAAGGCACAACAAAGTGTTAAAACGATAATATTCTACTCAGACAACTGTGGGGGACAAAATAGGAATCGTTTTGTGTTTTCGATATTTGCTTTTGCTGCTGATCATTTTCATATTGATATTGTTCACAGATTTCTGGAAAAAGCCCACACTTAGAACGAGGGTGACAGTATGCATGCTGTTATCGAAAATGCAAAGAAAAGGCAATTGGTTGTACATGTGCCAGAACAGTGGGTTACATTAATTAGAATGGCTAAAACTACAGGAAGAGTTTATGATGTTACGGAAATGTCCCAAGATAATTTTTTTTAATTTAAAAAAAACTGACTGATACCGAGAATTGGAAACTTGACAACGAAAAGAAATCAATAAAAGTTAGCAAAATACGAGAAATAAAATTTTTCGCATGAACACCAAAATTCTATAATGTTTAAATACGAATTCGATGATGGTTTTAGAGGTTGTGACATGAAATTAAATCGAAAATGCAGAGGACGGCCTTCGACTACTATCAAATTTCCACCGAAACTGTATGATGCACCATTACCAATTGAAGAAAAAAAGCTAAAAGAATTACTGTGGCTGTGTAATACCGGCACAATGTACCATGGATTTTATAAAAATCTTAATTCAAAGAGTTATGTACCTCCTAAAGTCGAGCTCGAAGTTGATTCAGTTGAGATGGAAGAAGAGTCGGATAAGGAAAATTGAATTAAAATATAAAAATGTAGCATTTTATATAAATAGAGTTAAGAAACAAATAATTCTGGTATTTATTACTTTAAAAATATCTCCATCGAAAACTATAGTAACTCATTCAAAAGTCACTTATGACCATTTCTGTCTTAAATCTGGTTTACCCTTGTAAGATCATTATTAAAAGTATCACTTAATGCTATAAAAACATCCATTTAATAGATTAATGAATTTTGGTTACAGTGTAAATACATTTTTATAATTATCTCAATTACATAAAAAATGAGTTACTACAGTCTTCGTTGGACCAGTCGATAAGTCAGTTATAAAATTGGAAACAATTTTCAAAAAATATTTTTTTGCAGACCTGTGAATTAAAGCAATAATATTTCTTAGTGTATAGAGAAACATGAGGCCACGATCATTTCAATTATAATTCTGAAATACAATTAACCCATTCGGGAGATATTATGCAACATAATTTAGTAATATAAACACAATTTGTTGTGTTTGCAATGTTTGAACAGGTCAGCATTTGGATCGGAGTCGACTGTCAAGTAAGTTTGTTATTAAAGCAATATCAGACATTTATACAAACAATTTACTTATTGAAGTTTATAATTTACTGTTGGTGACAGGTTTAATATTTCTGTAACCGCATTTAATTACCTTAGTGATGTTATTTAATATATTCTTATATATTGCTCTATTTATTCAACTATGTGGTATGTATAAATTGTATATAATATTCTTATAGTGTTAGGGAACCTAGATTATGTATTTCTTAGAAGTGATATTTAGGTTAATTCCTCTTTCACGTTCTAAACCACCCCTCTCAATTTTTTACCCACGATCAGGATTATATCGATTTTTTTCAGTCGATAAGTGCGACTGGTAGTTGAAAAATTTGTCGTAGCTGATAGTATTCTTCATAAGAACAGATGATATACCGTACCTCGGAGGTAAAGGACACTATGTCCATTTTCTTACTTTTTCAGGAGCGCAATTTTAACATTTTTTAAATTTGTAATCAGTAAATACTCAAATGTTTCTTATATTTAACCAAGACTAATATATTATTATTGTGGTGTGTATAATCGTTTTTACTTCCATGAAGTGTAATATACCTGAAGTTTACCGTTATTTATTAATTTTTTCTTAAATGTTTAGTTGGACTCTTGTTTACCTCTAATAACTTTTTTAAATAATGTGACATTGTATGTTAAGGTCTCTACGAAATAAAAAATACAAACACATTAAACAGCTTATCCTATTATTTTATTAGAGGTAAATATTATAATGTTATAATAATTAAGTAAAATTATAGACAAGTTTCAAAATTGTTAAAGAGGCTCCATATCATCTTCATCTTCTTGTGGGTAATCGTTTGTGGCTACATCACTATGTGTTAAATTTTGATAAACAGCATTACATACTGACAACTGACATACTTGTAGAAAAACACATGTTGACAGTAGAACAGGGTCATTATTAACATTCTTTTTTCTACTTACAAAAGGAGGATTAGGTGACAATTTCTTATTAAAAAGCGTTTTGAAGTTTTTGAAATCTGCAAGTTCCATATTGTGCACTGTGTAGTTACCTGATGTTTGCCTAACTAGCTGTTGCCAGTCTCATAGGGTTAAACTGGTCAAATTATAGTGCGATTAAAGCATGAACACTGTCTGCTTCCATATGTTTGTGCCCTTTCAGTAAAAACTTTTGAGTGATCGTCTTTATTTGAGGGTACGTAATCAGTATCCAAAAATAGCAAATACTTATATTTTTATTTTGTCCATAGCAGTTATCGGTCCAAAGAGTGATGTCCTCTACTTGACTATCTGGAATTGTATTGTCAACCCATTTCAAAATTGGTGAGGCCAGGCCCCTTTCGATTCGTCCCACATCATACATTGTACAGAAGAATCGCTGGGCATCATATAATGTAAAATTTAATGTCCAAAGCTTCCCTTTATAGAAACCAACACAATTGTTTGTTTGTGGTGAAGGCAAACATTTTTGCAAATCACCAGATAATACTTTGTGTTTTGGTAACTCTTTAACCAGTATAAAGTCCAATTGTTTTAAGTTATACCGAGTTTTAGATTCAATAAGGTGAGCTTCATGATCAGCCTGTACACTGGTTAGTTGATCTGCAGTAAGATTATTTTTTAATTGAGCGGTGAATGTACTGTTTGTATCGCAAGTGTCTATTTCGGATGGTTTAAACGACAACTTGAAGTCTTTATTAAAAATATCTGCGTACAACCACTTTTTTGCTCTGAGCTTTGGATCTACATGTCTTTCATTGCATTCATTAATATACAGTTTATACATTTTTCCTATTGTAAGTTCTGTGCCACATAATTTCTCTTACTCCTTTCTCTGGAATAATGACTCTCGTACTTTGGGAATGATTTAATATGTTGATGTATACTATTTATGGTTTCGGTAGGAGTTTTATTAATTGGCGTGTATCTACCTCTTTGATCAGCTTTTATTAAACCTCCTGGCTCAATTTTTTTCAACATATTTACTACTACTAAATTGGATATATAAAGTGTGTTAAAAAACATAACCTTGCATACCTTTAATTGCTGATTGTTCACTGGTAGCTGATTGTTCAATTGTAAAATGGTAGTGTAGTGCACTATTTTAGATTTGGTAGAATTAAGGTATTCTCTTTCCCATCAGCTATTTTTCATTTGCGAACATTACAGGCCCAATTTTGTTCATTTACTACATGTTTTTTACCTTTTTGTTTGCACTTAGTTATTTGTACCTTTCTTTTAAAACTTTTCTCTTCTTCTAAAATAACTTCATTATATTCATTGAAATTGCCTGCATCACTGCTTAGGAATAAATCGTCCTTAAGAAGATTTTTTTGTTACTGCCCCACTAGTCGTAGGAGTACTAATAGCTTTTTCTTTTATCTTTGTTTTCGCCGGTTTACTTATACGTCTCATATCATTGTCGTCCAATTCGAATCTTTCACCACTTAGAGGCTCATAGGTTTTATTAATATCCGAATTATTATCTCCAAACAAGTTATCATCTTCGTCCACTTCCTTACCATTACCTTGGAAGTTACTGTAGTGACCAAGTGGTTCTGAAACAAATCCAGCCTTGAAATAATAATTATAGGCTAATTTTATAGGCCAACACAAAAATAATACTTATAACCAAATTGCTTGGTAAATTCCTATCTCTGCTAATAACACAATAACATAAAAGGCAATGCATATTACTCAAACAACTGACAATAATCATAACATATTATGGTCATTAAAAAAAAACAGACAAAATTCTTTACTAGTAACAAAAACATTTTAACTGATACTTCTATTTTAACGGTAGATACAAAAAATGTACGTACAGTTTGAAATTCTGAGCCTTATACAAAAGAATATACAATACTAAATATTTAAGGTTAGAAAAATACAAATCAGTGTTATTAAACAATAGCTTACCTGTAGGTGTTGTTTTATTTGGAATGTTCTTCTTCTTCTTGTGCCGTCTTCTAACGAAGGTTTGATCACTTCTTTAAACGCTTCTCGATCTTTTGCAACGTGAAATATCTCTTCAACACTGAGGTTAGTCCAATCTCTGATATTTCTCAGCCAAGATTTGTGGCTGAGATTTGTGGCTTGGATTTGTATGTGGCCCAGATATGATGTTTTTCTTATTTTAATTGTGTTTATAAGCTTTCTGCCATGTCCAACTCGTCATAACACTTCCTCATTTGAGACTTTTGCAGTCCAAGGAATCTTCAAAATACGTCTATATAGCCACATTTCGAATGCCTCCAATTTTTTTATAGATTGGGCTTTCAGAGTCCAAGCTTCTATCCCATATAGTAGTTGCGACCAAACATAACATTCGACGAACCTCAATCTGATGGCAATACTCAATTTCTTGTTTGTAAACATTGACTTGTATTTTATAAAGCCTTTTCGAGCTATTTCTATTCTGACCTTTATCTCCTGCTCTTGATCTAACTGTGAGTTTATAATTGCTCCGAGGTATTTATATTTGTCGACTCTCTCTAGGGGTTTACCCTCCAATGTCAGTTGTATGTTGTCAACAGGGTTTTTTGAGATCACCATGTATTTGGTTTTATTTATATTCATTGTTAGTCCCATCTTTTTGCTTTCTCTGTTAATGATTTCCAGGAGAGTTTGTAAATCGTCTATATTCTCTGCCATGATTGCGGTATCGTCTGCAAATCTTATGCTATTAATGATGCTCCCTCCAATCCTTACACCTTCAGTTATTAGTTGTTTGCTGTTTTTTTGTTATATTTAATTACTAGTGATCTAGGTGCTTTTAACTAATATTGTCAGTACTGTTTTGAATATATTATGTACAATATTTTTAAATATTTTTAACTTTAAATCTGTAAGTAAATCATTGTTTATTCTCACCGATATTTATATACCTAAATTTTAACCATATTTTAGTTGTCACCTGATGAAGCTGACAAAAAATCAGCGAAATATAAAGTAATAAAAGAAAAAAGAGTTTTTTTAAATAACAGACTGCATACCCGATACTCCAATACAAGAAATTGTTGTAATTCTAGTGGACCACCTATTGTCAATTAGACTACCTCTATAAATGTCCCGCCAACTGCCATTTTAAAGATTTAATTGTATTGAATACATCAGTAACCTAGGTTTTCGGACTGATTTATTCTATTCTTTTTCGATCTCTCTTTGTTATACCTATCATTCATCGCTCCAGTGACTTTGAGTTTAGATATTATCTCTTTCTTTAGTGTCCGTCTTTAATGTCCAGCCGTATGTCATGATTGGTAACATACACTGATCGAATGCTTTTTTCTTGAGGTGGATTGGCATCTTTGATTTGAGTATAACTGCATTTCTACCAAAAGATGCCCAAGCGAGTTTCATTCTTCTGTTGATTTCTACAAATAAGGAGCCAGATTTATGTAATAATTGTACCAGGTATACATACTCGTCTCCTGTCTCAAGTGCAGTGTTGTTTATTATTACATCTTGGATATCCACTAGCTCATTGTACATGGTTTTTTTCTTTGTTAAGTTCATTTTTAGGCAAACTTTATTGCTAGCTGTATTTAGGTCGCTTATAAGTCCCTTTGGTTTGCAGCAATCAGAATAATGTCGTCTGCAAATCTTAGATGGCCGAGGTATTCTCCATCATGGGATATTCCTTTGTTCTGCCAAATCATTTTGCTAAATATATTTTCTAGAGTTTCAGTGAAGAGCTTTGGTGATATTGCATTTCTTTTTCGAACGCCTCTGGTAGTAGAAAATTCTGGAGTGTTTTCATACATTTTTACCTTATCTTTTGCTTGTCTGTATATATTTGATAAAGTTTTTATGTACAATTTGTCAATGCCTTGGTAGGTCAAAGCTTCTATTACTGCCTTGGGATATATAGAATCGAAAACCTTCTTTCGAAGTATATGAAGGTTAATGATAGAGGTATTTTATATTCTTTAGTTCTACTCATTAGGTTTCGAAGTGTGTGAATATGATCCATGGTGCTGAATCTATTTCTGAAGCTAGCTTGCTCCCTCGGGTGTGCAGCATCTAATGCGTTTTTTAATCTGTTGTTGATGATCTTTGTAAATATCTTGTATATGATTGGTAGTAGACTTATAGGTTTGTAGTTTTTGATATTCCCTTTGCTACCTTTGTTATGAATAATAATTATGTTTGCTGTATTTCAGTGGTCTGGTATGCATCTCGATCTTAGTCAGTTTATGAATATACTTACTAAGATTTTCCAAGTTTTATTGCCAGCATATTTAAGCAGTTCCACTGTTATACCATATATTCCAGCTGCTTTACCGATTGTTGTTTTTGAAATTGTCGATTTTACTTCTTTCGTAAGGACTTCTGGACTTCAGGTACATCTTCTTGGTTACTGATTACTTTTTCAAGTGTGTCAGGGACTTTGTATAGTTCGCTGTAAAATTTAATTACGAGTTGTATTATTTCAGGTCTGTCTGTAATTTTTTTTTTTCGCACAATATTTAATTCTCTTATCTCAGGGGTATACTCGTGCTTTAATATTTATGCTTTACATATAATAGGTAAGGTCCAAAGAATACCGGAATAATAAAAAATATATATGATACATTATATATTGAAATAAAATTCACACTGAAATATCTTTAATAAAAATGTCTCATATAATGATTATCAAAATTTTGTTCTACGTACGTGAAGCTTCAATATATACAATATAAATTAAAATTCCAAATAAAAATTTTGCTTCTAAATCTCCTGATTAAAATATTCCTATCTTTTTTAAAACAATTGTTAAAAATATGTGTTAATAAAGAAAAAACTGACGAATAGTAAACCTATTTCTCTGATGATGAGTTGTCCAAATCCTTGTTCCTTGTAGCCTACACTATCTGGTCTTAGCAGTCTCATAGGTAATCAGTAATCTTACAACAAATTGTTGCGAGCCTATCGTCTTTAATGATCTTCTTCAAATGCACGTATCGTTCAAATTATGCTAGCCTCTTCTCCTCTCGATAAACTGAATCTCTCGTTTTGGCCTGAACAGTATCTCTTGAAATATAAGTAGAAAATATAACTTACAATATTTTACTGGATCAGCTTCTGTCAGATACACTTACTCCACGAAAACGCACAAACATTCACTTCTACTGATTGCTACCTCTGGGGAACCACCAGAGAACAACGACCGTTCGCCTTGCACCCTTGGAAAACAACTGATTATCTTTTTTCCCTCAAAAATCTAGCTAAACTCTCATTCTTATAAACCATCCCACTTTTTTCAATCTCCTCCAATCAAAGCTCGTCATACGTATCCCCATTTCTTCATTCAGATAACAAACAACAATTTTACCTACAATTATAAATTTCCTAAAAACTATTAACATGCTAATCGGTTTCTACAAATTCTTAAGAACTAACGGAGAAATATATTTTCTAATTATTTATTCTATTGTCTCATTCACTGTACAAGTCCATTTGAAAAACCCGCTCGCATTGTTCATGATTTCACTCACGTCACTTTTCAAAGAAAATAATTTATGCATATATTTAAAATTTTGTTTACTATAGGTAATCCAGGATAATGGACTTTCATTTCTTCGAAATATCTTTTATAGTTTATTAGTCGAATTATTTGAATTATTATATTTTGTGCTTTGAAATATATTAAGCAAACCAATATTATTTTCAATTTTACATAGCATAACAATATATATATATATATATATATATATATATATATATATATATATATATATATATATATTTATATATATGTGTGTGTGTGTATGTATTAATGATGACAAAAATATTACTTTATTAGACAAAAAAAAAATCTTATCGCATTAAACAGAATGCTAAAAAACTCTCAGTGGAACAATAATTCATAACTTTTGTCCGTTTTACAACTGCTGTTATCTAATTTGGTTTTTCTTTTTTAGACTTCTCACAAACTTTCGTAATGGACAAAAATTCTAATAAATCGTACGATCTCGATTGGCAATGCGACACTATTTGCTCAGGATCAGGTGGCAGGGCTCGCTTCGATCCGAAGAACAAAATATGTAAATGCACCATGGACAAAAACACAGACGGTGAGTATGGAAATAAAAATAAAACGAGAAATTTCCTTCTGTTTTATGGCGAGCGTTGTAAATGAAAGTTTATGGCCGTTTTTTAAAGCAACCGATATTTTACAAAACACTACCTAAAGATTGAATACAAATTTCACTAGTATTATTGTCCTTATATTTTTGTTTATTTTACAATATATTATTTTTGGTTGATTTTCTTTTTAATATTAGGAGTAGTATTTTTTAAATTAAGATAATTAAAAAGATAAAAGAGAAGACAATGGAACTTGGATAAGTTAAGCGGACAATATATAAGAGATTAGTATCTAGTATTACTCCTAGATATTTGACTTCTGTAGCCACATTGACAGTTTTTCCATATTAACTTGGTTTTATCCTAATTATAAGACTGCTACTATTTTACCAGAATTCACATAGTATGTTTTCCTCTGTCGCACCACCTAATAAGGATATTTTAATATTCGTTGAAATGTGCTGGATAGAACATTTGCAGTATTCCAAGAAGCAAGATCACGTCACCTCAGGAAAAGATAAAGCGCTCCCTCTGTGAGCACCCCTTATCTGTTTTGGCCACACCCTCATCTCATTGCAGGTCTGTTAGAATTAGCCTATTCTCCAGCATTGCTTATATCCAGTTGCCTGCGGTAGTAAATATTTCTTTTGACAAAAAATTTATTTACAATCCTTTATAAAAGGTATATAATAAAATGCCCAAATGGGCTATCACAAAGATATTGCAAAACGTTTTCAGATTATTAAATCCATCATCAGTGCAAACCTGAAAGTAAATAACCACTTTAATTAAAAGAACGTTGAATTTAAAATGTTGACTAAGGTTAAAGAACATTGTGGTTAATACTTACGAGGTATACGTGTTAGCATTGATTAAAATTGAAAAAATTAAAATTATAACATATATATGTAATATATGTAACAATGCTGATATCTGTCATTTTAAGACAACTACCGTAAGTTACACTGACTGCTCTGACACAACATCCGTTCTAACATGTCAACAATGTCATTTTGATCAGTTGTTATCAACAGGTCCTCGAAGAGACTTCGTCTCAGGACCATTTTACCTATGTAGGGTCATATGTCGCCATGTTACCAATTCCAACGGTAACTTAAACATCATAATTTGTAACCACATATAATGTAAAACAAATGTAAATTTATATCATTTAAAGGGTTTGGACCCATATATTTTGGTGGCTCATAGCATGTATACCTCGTAAGTATTAAACACAATGTTCTTTAACCTTAGTCAACATTTTAAATTCAACGTTCTTTTAATTAAAGTGGTTATTTACTTTCAGGTTGGCACTGATGATGGATTTAATAATCCGAAAACGTTTTGCAATATCTTTGTGATAGCCCGTTTGGGCATTTTATTATATACCTTTTATAAAGGATTTGAAATAAATTTTTTGTAATATATGGTATACAGCCAGCTACAGGAACTTAGTTTCCTCGTGGCATTTCTTTTGACGTTGCTGCATCGTAAAGAGGATTTGGAAAGGGTATATGAGAAAAGTTTCCATTCTAAACCAAGTTCAGATTAAAATAGGCTGTTCACAATATGTTTGCAATGTATTCTGCAATTTTTCGGTCACGTGGTTTGCAGAGGCGACCACAGATTGTGCCCAAGACTGCGATGTAGTGTATTAAAGCCCTTCCCCCTTTTTAAATTCAATGTTTGTTTCGTCCCTTCTAAGTGTTTTCTGTTTTAGTGTGTTTAAATTGTCCTTAATTGTTTGTATTTTAATATTTTATTTACTTGACTTTCCAATAATTAGCTCATTGCCAATAGAACTTTATCAAAGTAATTTGATAACTACAAGTGGAAAATAATTGCACACCCACACAATTTTTACATCTAAACTTATTCATTGTCATAAGACTGTCACCTTCATAAAACAATTACTCAATAAATAACACACATTTCAAAAATATATCTCTCGAATAAGTATAAATAGCTTTTAATAACACAATAGTATATTACATCACTTTCATTTAACAAACAATCTCACACATATCTCTTCTTCATTGGATCAAATCTATCTCCTCAAGAACTTCCCGTTTACTGTCAAACAACTGCAATGATAGAATTGAGTTCTCCATTCAACAATATAAAGTAGTTTCAACCATGTTCTACCATCCATCTATTAATAGAGTATCGGCATCATTTGTTTAACTTTGTATCGAGACCTGAGGATGTTTTGCATATTGTAGAAAGCGAAACCGGTCGTCTGATAGTTAAATTAAATTGATTGTGAGTAAGTCTTATTTATTATTTCTTTACCTATTTGAAATGGACTCACACAAGCAACACATTCATGATTCCCATAGAAATACTTGGAAAAGAGTTTCTAGCGCCCAATGCGGATGGACCAAAAATAATTTTATTTGACGGTAAATTCAGAACGTAGGTACTGAATTTTAGGCAGCAAAATTCAAAAAGTATGTTTTACCGGAAAATAAATATTGTCATAAAATAAGAAATAAAAACTTATTCTATGCCAAAAGATTATTCTCTCTGTCCAAAAATGTAGTATACTCTAACACATAATATTTTTAAATATAATCTATCATAATTTATATATAAACATGATATCAGACAGAGAGAGTATATAATATGGAAGTTTTTATTTATTATTTTATAACTATATCTGTTTGACATTACACTAACAAAGCAAAGTCCCGAACACAACAACAAAAAATACAGATATCCTGACACTTGTTTATTTGTATAATTTTCTTTGATAGTGAAGTATTTTGATAAGGCAACAAATATCCTCCACCTCCTCATTTTTTAAGCTCTTATCAGAGTGTGGGTGGGGGCACTCTAAATATTGTTAGCGGTTTTTTTTCTTTTAAATTCAGTACTATTAAAATCAATTTTATTTCACTAAACGTTTTAACGTAAATTCACTTTAACTTTTCCATATAGAAGGCCCGTCAGGCCTTCTATATACCGCTGATGCGGACTAGGCCCTTAAGGCGAATCGAATGAAGACTGATCCACTCGCGACACCCGAGCACTGAGATCATGTCGGCATACATGAACTTGGTGGCCGGACCCTATCGGGCGCCCAGCCGGCGAGGAGAACAAAATTTATTTTTGCCATATCGGCGGCTAAGTGACCGAGCACAGACACCTTTCCGAACATGAAGTCGACAGCCTAGGCTGTCGGCTCCATGGACGGAACACACGTTCTCTTTCTTTTTTTTAGGGACTCAAGTCCCGAAGTGATGTTAGAGTAAAATCTATAAAGTCAGTAAAGTAAATAGGGAGAAAAGCCTAGATGTGGCTACCCCTACAGTCAGGTGGCATAACCACAGTCATTAAAAACAGGAGGTGTCTCATTACCCAGTGTACCTCAAGTAACTTTCAGATCATAAGCCTCCTCACGTAAGTCACACGTTGGGGAGGGGTGGTGGAAAAGCCTGGGGGTCCGATAGGTACCATTTCAGCTAGTGAAGTGTGACCGGTTTGATCTTCGGACATGTGGATCCCACTCTTAGTTTGGTATACACATGTTCCTAGTGGTAGGGTTGATCGCTTAGCGTGATTGTGTGTATCCATTGGCTGCGATCCTGTACCAGGTGGACAAATTCATTTTTTGTCAACTTTACCTAAGTTTCACTCATCCACAAAAGATATTCTTTTTAATTTTTTTGATTTGCAGCAATATACCATTTGGAATTGAAATGTTTTTACCTCCATTGGTAAAATTTGGGATACAATGTTTCTTAGTGAAATAAAGTCTTGTAAATTTAAGTGGTGATTTTAGCAGAATTTGCTATAATCTTTGTTTTTTAAAAACATTCTTCTTTTTCTTCTCCTTTTTAATATAGACATGACTCTGTCCGTTTTTGAATGTGTCTTCAGTAAATTGTCGTTCCATCGTTTTTGTGTTCTTCCTATCGGGAAACCGTCTCTTGTCGTCTTTACTCTCTATTTTTTTTCATTCGGCTTATATGATCGTTACATTATATTCATCTATTTCTTACCCAGTTCTTGATAATTCTCCACCTTGCATTTATTTCGTAGATCTGTACTTCTTGATCTGTCACATAGTGTCTTACCATCAATGTTTCTAAATATTTTCATCTCTGCTGTTTCTAACATTCTTTTTGTCCTCTCTGTGTCACGTCTTGTTTCTGCCACGAATGTCAATATTTTTCTGATGACTGTTTTTTACATTCTGTCTTTCGTTTCTTTCCCGATATTTGAATTTCTCTATATTGTTTCATTTAGGCAGCCTGCTGCTCTTTTCACTTGATCTTCGACTTCGATTTCGAGCTTTCTGTAGCAGATAATGTGATGCCTAGATATTTAAAGTCCATCACTTGTTTTATTATCTGACCTTCCTGTTCCATTTTACATACTAGTAAATTTGCTGTTGTAATCATGCATTATGTATTTGTTGGGGAAATTAACATCACGTCACATTTTTTGGCGGTTATATTACATTGGGTTTTTCAGGGAATCTCCCTGTCTGGTTCCATTGCCATATTCAATAAGGTCGGTTAGTTCTTCTTCTACTTTTACTTATATTGTGTTATTTAGTAGATATTTTCGATCGTTTTGATTGTTCCTAGGTTTATCTCTCTTGCGTACAGTACGTCGATAACGTCTTTTAATTTGACCCGGTCAAATGCCTTTGTAAGGTACGCGAAACACGTAATGCGTAAGGTTTGTTGTATTTTAATGATTTCTTTGCACTTTCTTTATTATAAATATAGCGCCGGTGCATGATTCCCGACCTAAAAGCTTGTTGTTTTTCTGCTAGTTTTATAATTTGATTCAATTTATTTGTTATCACTTTGGTTGTTAATTTTAGTGTTGTGGTTAAAAAATTAATTTCTCTGTAATTTTCCGGGTCCGATTTGTCTCCCTTTTTGAAGAGAGACATGTTTCGATATCTATAGAACGGATCATAGAGCAATATCAGGAGGAACAGCAATACTAGTAGAAAAGGGACTTGAACACG